CCATCTAGAATCCACAGCAAAAATCCAAACCGAAGGTTACAAAAGCATGCATATAATAGAGGGAACACAGAAGAAAGACAGTTTAGTAGTTAGAATATTAGTCTGAGAATTTAGAAACCAAAGTTCAGTTCTCTGCTCCACCAGGTTTTTTGTAACTCCTTAGGCAAGTCGCTTTTAGGCTATAAATAGGCACTGCATTTGTACAGGGAAAAAAGTCTTTTGTCCCATGATTGTACAGATATACATAATCCACTGTCTTGTAGCCATTTTAAAATGGTCAAAACTTCACCATAACACAAGGAGTTACAGTTACAGCAGATTAATTTGCTGTTTATCTCAAGAGGATCGGAGAGGGGACTGAGCCTACGTACAAAGATTGCTCCGATTTTATCAGATTACCAAAAACATGCATTTAAGAAGAAGGCAACTTAATCAAGTGGTCTATGGCAGTGACTTTTTGAAAGACAGAAAGCTAGTCAGTCATGGTAGTCTAGAGTCAGCAGAAGGCAGGGTACTTATGTACCTCAAACTAGCTAACTAAGATATATAGAAAGAGCATAAGCTTTCATAAATTCAAGCCCCATGTACTCCATTTCACAGCCCCTAAGATATACTATTGGGCACAGGGCTGTGTCTGCTGTGGCAACAGCTCCTGGGGCAAGGTGCCATTCCCCCCACCCAACATCCCCTCATCATATACACTCAGGGTTAGTGTCCCATTCACATCCTCCCATTCTCCACCATGTTACTGGACACAGTTCCATCTTTTAAAATATGCAGGAGGCAATTTCCTATCAGAATCACTTTTACAATGATTAACAACAAAAGCCAAGTGTGATGAACTATGGATTTTATTGTGATATTTACGTGTTAACTGTGTTCATATTGTTATAACATCTGTGATTCAATTTCCTGTGCAAAGAAAATAAGAGGGCTATGTGCTAGGGCTGCCTGCATGCAGGATGAGACAAGGTGGACCCTTTGCATCAAGTTTTAAAAGGTTTTGCTGACATATTAATCCAAGAAGTATCCAAAGGAAATAAAATTGAAAACGGAAGAGCAGACGGGGGAGCAGGGAAGGCAGCCTGTCAGCTCCCGGCCAGAAAGACTGGAGGACAGAGAAGTGAAGGAGCTTTGGGGAGTTGGAAAGGGAACAAGTGAGTATCTTTGGGGATGCTCAAGGCTGTGTGGGCCGGACTGGGGACAGAGGAACTGCTTAACTCCTTTAACTGGCTGGATGGCCCTTGTCCCAATAAATGCCTTTAATAAACAGACTGGCTTCTGTGCTGCTTGGAATTTTTGGCTGCACTCAATTCCTGCAAGGAGGTGAAGCCCCTCTCTCAGGAGAGAAACTAGATGCTAGCTCCTTGAGTCAGGACCATGGAGAGTGAGCAACCAAAATGCCAAAATTCTCAAAGCTGGAAGGAGCTTTGGGTCCTCTCCTGCTCTAGAAGCCAAGCCTAGTGGCTTCAGGGGGGCAAGGTGGTACTCTCAAAGGCCAAAAAGGGTGGTCCCTGAACACTCTCCATCACTCCAGAGGGTGCTCTGTAATACCAGGGTCAAGTACTTCTTAGAGTAGGTGTTTACCTACCACAGCCTCTGTTTGTACATGGCCAGCTATGTTGCAAATATCAAGAGCGAAATAATTTGACAAGCTGAAAATGCAAATCATACAGAGAAATGAACAAAGAATAATACCAAACTTGGAAGCATTTACACAAAAAATGTGGCATTCCACAAAATCCTCCAACAAAATCTATAATGACAAATTCACCCCCCTCAAGATCAGCTGTTTTTCTCTCCTTCATGACTTGCAAAATGACTGAACTTGTTTGTTCAATGATGGGCTTAAACATGCTTTGGAAGCAACTCAAAGTTCACGTGATTTCAAAATGTAAGTGGAATATTTTGTTATATTTTTAACCCCAGTTTTCTCTTAGGATTCTGTGGAAATAAAGTTGTTTGCTTCAAAATAAATCACTTGATCAGCTGTCTGATAAAGCTGAAAAGGGTCAAAAAGCTGCCAAAGACTTGGGCAATTTTTAAATTGATTTGAGTAAATACAGTATCATTTCTAAGACAACCCTGAATAATTAGATTCTATACATGGAAAATGTGCAAGTTTGTAATACTTTTCCATGTATAGAATCTAATTATTGGAAGATCGTTTCTAATTCAGAGATGGGAAGAAGGGGCTGCAGGGGGATATATGTCAACAGCTAATCATTGTGAGATGGACAACTACACTGTTCGCCTGTCTTATTTCCAAGCAAAGCATCAGCTCTTCCCCTTTTCTGCACCATTCACTTCAGTGAAATGAATATAAAATCTTATATGATCATAGTTTTTCTTACGTGAAACGTGCAGGAAGCAATAGCATCAGCATGTAGAAGTCGTAGGGGACTGGGGGCCAACCTTTTTGACAGGCATGCCACAAGTGAGCCCCAAGGACCCTTCCGAGGGGCCAATCCAATCCCCTTCCCTTGCCTGATCTGCTGAGATTTCCTGCTTCCTGCCCTGTGCTCCCTACCTGATCTGCTATTCTGCTCCCTACTCTACCTGCTGCTGTGCTCACCTGTCTCCTCCCTGATATGTCACATGCCACACAAAGATGGCCTTATCTCGAGCCAACTTGTGGCACACATGGCACCCTAAGGCAAGTTGTGTGTTTAGAGCAGATAGGCAGAATGATTCAAGTAGGCTCAGGGAGAGCACTGTTAACAGGATTCCTTTATACCTCTGGAAAAGCGAAGCTTTTGTTGCTAAAAATCAGCATTACAGCACTGGCCAGATTACCCTTCACCCTTTGGAGCAAAAGAATGCTACTGAATGCTAAGGGCTGAGCCTACTATTCAAAGAAACCATGGATTCAAGGTCATGCCAGTTATTATACATGACCAATGGCATATTGACACTGCATTCACTTGCTCTTTTCCCCCTCAGCATACACACACAGTCTGACATTGTTTAAGTCTGGTTCTAGCCTGTCAAGTGACTGAAAAAATGGAATTGAAGGGTCCCCTGTTTTGGGTTCAAGGATTTCTGCTGCAAGCATGTTCAAGTCAGAAATAAAAAGAAGTTCGCTCTCAAATTTAACAGTCCTACAAACTCACCCCTTTTTTCTTTTTACCCTACCATTAAATTTCTGCAGGACAGGAGGGGACAAGTTACATCCCAAAAAAATCCCATTGTTTCCATACTATATCCTTGGTGACATCAGTACAACCCGACTGCCTTTAGTGGATTTACACAGTGCAAACATCTGGAGTTTAATAAAACATGTCAGCTGATGATACATATAGAATGGAATTCAACCTGTTTCTCATTAGCCCTGTTGGCTCTGAGGGACAAATAGGAACAAGAAATAAATAAATAAAAACAGAAAAAAAGGTTTCTATTACTAAGAGGTGAAGAGGCCTCTGAATACACACACAGAATAGTTCTGTTGAGTAGCAGAGATTTTACACCCTCACAGTAGAACTGCCCCTTTAAGCAGTGGCAGGTGTGATTTTATTTTTTTTATTTTTTTTTAAAGAAAAATAAAAATAAAAATTAACCAACTACTGTACTGTTCCAAGAAGGCAACCTCACATTTTCAGGTTCAAAATTTAGGGGGAGGAGAGAACACAACTCCCCAGCCTCCCCACCAGATGTGACAGCATTCTATACTGGTCTGTTTAATGTTTCTGCGGGGGTTGCAGCATGATTACTACTGGATTGTCGGGGACCCACTTACAAGTCAATTTTGCATACAATTTGAGCGCAATTTTTATGGTTATTTTTATTTTGGGGGTGGGGGGGCAGGAAGCAGGGGCAGCAGACATCAGAACACTATGGTACCTGAATATTGTGCTAATGCGACTTTTATATAGATTTTTTAAAGGACCCAACAGAGAGAGATACCTAACTGCCACTTTATTTTTATATAAAAGACTTTAAAAAAAATTAAAAGCAAGATTAAATGACTAAATACTTACTACAGCCTGAACAGGTGTTACAGACAAGAATAGCATATTCATGATAAACACGACAGAAGGAATTAAATAATTATATGAAATGTATTGACCCCTGAACTCTAACAAGTAACCATTTGTTTACAATAATCAATCATTTATTAAAGCCTTGTAAGTATTTATAAAAGCAACTTTAATATAACATGCAGCCTTTCACTATAAGTAGTAGTTATCCCTTCACACAAATAGGAACTGCACAGGACCAAAGGCCTGTGAATGAGAGAGCTTGGCATCAGGAGGCCTCTGGCTTAAGTCTAGGGATCAAGAGTAAGGGACAAGCATTCAACCTATAGTTATAAAACTAACTATAAAATGGTATGCAAGTGTTAAGAACTGCATACTGAACAACAAGGAATATATAATTTCCCAAGTTTTGGGAAATGTCGAGGAACATAAAGGAATTAACTGTTGCAAAATTGCAACCACACTTCCCATATGATTGCCATAGCAAAGAGCTGTCTATTTACTTCAAGGAGGAAAATATCTGTGGTAAAATAAGAAAATCCTTTTGATTAATGAAACAAACAAGCAAACATTGTGTTGTCTGTGGGGAGTACCATTAAGCAAAATCACAAGATACTTTTCAAACATCTCAGATCATTTAGAGTACTTATACAAACGGCTCTATCCTGCAACCATACAGGGAATTTTTTTGCTTATGTAAATAAGTTGAACTCAACTGGTACAGGGCTACTCACAAAGGTATAGTTAGCTACATACAGTTGCAGAATTTGGCCCTCAGGAAGAAATACTTTAATCCATGGATTATTCAATAAAATAAAAAGAAACAATATCTGAATAAGCACCTGAGTTTCCCCAACACTCATGAATGGCTCTAAAACATTTCCGTTTTAAAAAGTCACCAGACATTTTTAATATACTTGTGAAATTTAAAACACACAAAAAAATTCTGTATCTAACATTTTATTTCTTTGGGTATTCCTCAGTTTAGATGAATTGAAAAAGTTAGGATTGTTTGCAGCCCACCTCACAGTGCCTGAGACGACGAGCCCACGCAGGAGTGTTTGGGGGTAGTGGTTGAAGAGGGACAGGAAAAGGGTCTTCCACCATCCTGAAAAGAAAATTCAACAACATAGATAACCAGGAGAGAAGAGCAACATCTACTCAAAGCTACAGGTAATAAAGAATTCCTTTGTTCTATATCATTGCATTATGACTATGGTTAATGCTTATCATGAAACTGTAGTCATGGTAGCCGCTCCCATGACTTTGGCAATTGTTTTTAAAAACAGTGGATATTTTTTTCATAATATATTTTTCTGCAAGTTACTGCTGAAATAATTAACAATTATATAATCAACAATGCCATATTTAAACTACAACTGACTTTTGTATTCACTCAAGCTGTCATTCAGTAAAAGCACAAAAGTATATCCTTATATTAGAACTTTTTAGCTTCACTGGCAAATATTAGATTTTTTTTCATAATGTTTGCTTACAGACTAAATAAATACATAAATAAAAATCACAGCCAGAACACTTTTGAGACAAACTGACCAATTTTGTTGGAGATTTACTGACATCTGTAGTAGAACTCTGGAAACTGAATCAAGTGTTTAAATTGAGAATTGTGTTTCCGTGCTTCCTTCAGGAGTGAGATGCAATATCAGTTTAGGGAATATTTCCAGCTCCCTAAAACCTGCATCTGTCTTACCATTCAAAGACCTAAGTTAATCACCATACCCTAAAAATCAAGCTCCAGACCTGCCTAACTCTTGGGAGTTTTAATATTAACATCTTCAAAAACTTTAAAAATGAATCCAAGCATCCATTCACAAAATATTTCCTTACATTTTATGGAAGTCTTCAGTATACTCAATATGTAAAACAATATTACTTTACATGGTTAAGATTATTGTAAATTTCTGTCTTTTTTGTTTACGTCAAATACTTTTGTAAGATTACATGCTCGCCAGATAGGGAACAAAGACCAGGAAGAAATCTAAATTAATATTTATAAGTTTTTTTCTTTTTTCTAAAACAAAAAGAAATGTTTATATAAAGAAAAATACTAAACTTCTCTCAGCTAGAGACTTCAGACAAAGTTTATCAGTGTACTGGAACACAACAGATGCAAGTCAGACTAGATCTTTAAAAAGCCATTTTAAGATCAAGCTCTTACCTATGATTCCTTAAAATCAATCAATCAATGCAAATACAAGGAATTGTATTCCCTCAAACTCCCACTGTCCTTTTTCACTCTCTGAACCATTTTCCATTCTCATTATGCAAATATCAGTCTAGAATAACTTTAATGGTCAAAACGGAGTACACCGCTGTTGAGATCAGACTGCATGCTTCTCTATTTACATTTAACACCCATCTGGCTTGCACTGTCAGGTTTAGACATTTTTTACCTGCTATATTGAAACCTTTTGTGTGTCACTCAATAGTAGTAACAGACTAATATCTTGGAAGGGGGAAAGGGGGGAATTCTGTGATAGTTCTGCACAAAAACATTACAAAAACATTATAAATTTAATTAATGAAAAACACTAACTGTAGAGGCATTAGTGATGCAAAGTGGTAGCTAGCTGTCTAAACTTCTGACCTACCTGGAACCTGTCTTTTTGGAGACTGTGAGGGACGCGTGAGGATGAAGGATATAACTGCTTGTACCATCTGCAATAGCAGCCACTGCAACAGTCTGTAAGTTCCCAGCATTGCGTTTATCTTCTGAAACATCTTTGCAAAAATAAAAAATCCTCCCATTTAATAACTGAACCACAGAATGGGAAAATGACAAGGTCTGATTAATCTTGATCTGTAGGGAA